TATGCAAGTCCAGTTCTGCACATAGGAACTCAGGCGCTTTTGGGGCTGCAGCACAAACACTGCTGATGTGAAAAAGAGAACCCACACCTGGTGCTTGGATCAAATTCTTCAGTATCCAGTCAATGCACACATAAAAACTACAAGTGCAAGCTTTACAGTGCTCAAATTCAAATGCTAAATAAGGTTTAATGGACAGTGCAGAAACAAGTACGTATTAACATTAGCAACTGGCCTGATCACAGGCAGATGGCTGATGTATAAAACATAAATGACTTTAATTTGAAGGTTTTAATTAATTAAATTTAATTTAAATTTAAAAAAAGACCTTTTTTTAAGTCAGACTAGGCCAAAACTGAGTAATTCTTCAAATGAATGCTGAAGATGAAGATGGGGAGAACTGCTTTTGAAAAATGTGTCTTTGGGGGCATTTTCTGCAATTCCACAGCACATTTAAAAAATACAAACCTCAAAAAATCAGCTTCTGTTTTTCTTTCATCAGTATACTTACATGTTACTGCAGGATATTATTAAGTAGCTGTGTGGGACTAACGATGTCAGTTCTCTTCTGTAACTTGCTATTTTATCAACTTAGAAGTTCCATCAAATTCATAGAAAATTATAAAGCTTGAACTACATTTGCAGTAAATTAGAAATGTTTTATTAACCAGTTAACTGGACAACCTGAACAATACCTAATTCCATTGAAGCCAACCAGATTTTTCATGTGACAAGGACAATTAAGTCTAAAAACCTGGCTGATAGCTATCAACAGACACGAACCAGCACTGATAAAGAAAACCAATTCCACAAAGAGGTGACAGAATTTATAGCTGCTAAATAAAATTTTAAGTACAAAGAACAGATTACTAACAGAAGGTAAAGAAAGAAGACAACAGCTGGAGTAACACAGAAATGCCACAGATCCCCGTTTCAAACAGAACAAATAACTGGCTATCATCTCACCTTTATTATCTTACTGCCAGTCCCACAGTTAACATATCTTATTTTATAAGGAGAGCATTCGTACGAAGACCAGCATGAAAACAGAGACCAATTCAAATGAATTTATTTCTGTGCAAGTCAGACCAGCCTCAGATAAACAGCAAAAATTACTTCACAGGAAACTAAGAGATTCATGGGAAAAGAGAATACATACATAAATCCAGATATATAGGGCAATCCATACAGAGTAATAAAATTAACCATATGGTGAAAACCTTCTGTCACTGCATGAATGCTTCATGAAATTAATTTCTAACATTTTGTTTAACCTAGTTTTACATGTCTTGTTACCTTAATTAATTTTTCTGGTAATCCAGATGATATCTTCTTTTTATTTCATCTGAATAACCCTGTTTATTCATATCCATATATATTACTCAGTGATATTTCTTCCATGATGCCTGCATCCTGAAAAATACTTCTGGCAATTGCTGATAATGTTTTTTACTTAATAGTTTAACCAGTTTTAACAAATCCTAATACTTCAGGTGGGAACTGGTAAGTGAGGAAAAAGGTTTCTAAATAACAGAAAGGTTTGCCAGTGTGGACACAGAAAGGCCACTTTGAGCCAACTGAAAGACAAAATCCTTCAAGTAAATAAATGTACCTGCCTGCAACCAGGAGCTGAAACAGGGGAGTGAGTCCACCCCAGTCCTAAACACTTACATAAATTGTGGAATAAAGGACAATGAGATACTCTTGTCTTTAAATCTGTTAGAAGTGAATGTATGGCTAGAAAGGATTGCTGCTTCTGAATGACCAGCAATATCTTGAAGAGAAGTAAGACTAACCCTTGAACCAGTAAAGTGTTCAATAAAAAGAATACGAAAACCCCAATGCTCTTTAATGGCACCTTTCATTCAATAAACAAACACAGCTACAGCAATGTGTCCTCGCGCTGTTTCCCTTATGCCCCTCAAAAGCAAATTCTGTTACTCAAAGACACCCGCCTGACTCATTTTGGCTAATGCAGCTATGTTGCATTTCATTCCAAAAATTGGCCTCGTTAAAAGGAATAACACTGCCAAACCTGACCTTTTGATGTTTACTGCCATTCACATTGACGGATCACGTAAATTAAATTAAGTACTCTGTTTAACTATTCAAAGTACAATTAGATAGTTTTCTTCCTCATTTGGAAAAAAATATTTCCTCATTTTTCCCAAGTATATCTTAGTAGGTAACAAAAATTATGAAAGCTCTACTCCTAACAACTATTAAATAAACCTGGCAAAGGAGCTGTAGGTAAAAACAAGGAATCTAGAATTTTAGTGACTGCATTAAATCACCATATTTCAAGGTTTAGGATTAATAAATATAACTAACTTTTCTATCACAGTTGTGTTAATACTATACAAAATAGCTGTAAGAATCAAAACCTGCTGGAATTAACAGTTTAGTAGAAATAGGTTTTTTTAAAATGAAATAGGTTAGACTCTCCCTGCAGGTGATAAGCAGGGCTGCAGTGATTTTAGCATTCCTCAAAAGCCAGTTCAAATTTTGAAAATTTTTGAAATTGTACTCTGAGAGTTAAAAAGATGCACAATCCAGGAGAATGCAGAAAATAACTGTACTATCACATAAGTACACAATTTTTGCTGTAGGCATTAATCACTCAACAGCTATTTCATTCTTAGAGCCTCTGGCTTTCTGAAAGACTGCAGCAGAACATTTTGTGTAACTGCTCACATATTTAAAATGTAGTTTAAAACTCTTCAAAGAACCACCAGCACTTCTCTATCTTATAAACCACTATAGCTCTTTTGATGCTGTATCTGATGTGTACCTCACTGTAATCCATCCATGAGCTTTATATACAGCACAGGGCTATTCTTAATTTTGGGGCTCCTGTTTGAGACTGCAGCAGAACATTTTGTGTAACTGCTCACATATTTAAAATGTAGTTTAAAACTCTTCAAAGAACCACCAGCACTTCTCTATCTTATAAACCACTATAGCTCTTTTGATGCTGTATCTGATGTGTACCTCACTGTAATCCATCCATGAGCTTTATATACAGCACAGGGCTATTCTTAATTTTGGGGCTCCTGTTTGCCCCAGCCCCTCCTGCAATGTAGCTACAACTCCCAACTCAGTCTTCTGACAATCCAAGGACTATGTCCAAGGATATATCCAAGGATGGCTCAGGAAGCATGGGAGTGAGCACAATTAGCATGCTGCAGAGAACCTAATTAGTTTTAATTCTGTAAAAATAACTATTCGTTCTCCCTGGAATGCTAGCATCACAGATTCAACTCTTCACATCTAGCAAGCAGCATTTTCTATTGACTAGGAGTGAGAACATTATCAATTCTGAGAACATTAAAAATGGGGTGCATAAAGATGAGCTACAAAAATAACCCCTTTGGGAACTGCATAGCTCTGCGCTTAATAGAGTCTTGACTCTTGTCCTCCCCTGTAAGAAGTGAAAACAGGTCTTGGTAGAGACTGAGAGTCCTATAGACTCTGGCTTACACAAAAGCAGTAACATACTACCTTGGTCCATGACTGTCAGCTGGGGCCGTTCTTCCCCTCATTTGCTTGCAGAGAAGTAGTATTAGAATATTTAAGTAATGTGAGCAGCCTTTACTACATGCCACTGGGTGAATGAGACAGAACTTGCATATTAAGAGTAAGTAACAATTCTGACCTATTGAAGAAGGCATTAAATTTCTACTTGAGAAGCCTTTCAACAAAGTTTTATACTAAAACTCCTCCAATAACCATGACTAGGTACTATACAATTGTTTTGGGTGGAAAATTTACTTCTCTGAATAAGAAATTTTCATGTTTAAAGAGGCTAAGTATTATATGGTCAAAGATTACCTGCTTTGTATTTACTATTCCACTCCTATGGCTTTTTTGAATTCAGAATTTTGTGGCTCTAAGATGTCATAATAAACACTACTTTTATCAAAGTTTTCTCGAATGTAAAGCAAATCTTCTACAGAATAAACGTCTTCCTTTCCCGTCCAAACAGTGAGGCTGTATCTGTATCAAAAAGAAGGAGGAAAAAAAGAAAAAGAAAAAAAAGAGTATAATATTATCTGAAGATAAAGCATGTAAGACAGAACGACATTGCATTAATAAGCTCCCAAAAATATTCAGGACTATGGTATCTTAATTTTAGGAATGTAATTAAATACCAAAAACTTAATCTTCTTTAGTTTTCAAAGCTGAGCAACCACAAATGATGAAGTATCACAATTAACAGTTTTGAATGTCCCTGCCCTCCTCACTCCTCTACATCCAGGCAAGCTATCACCCTCTACCCTGCTGCAACCGACAGCACTAAGCATCTCTCCAATCTTCTTGTTACCACAGCGACTTCCAGGTACTGGGGAAAGCAACTGCTGGATCAAACTACTACCCCAGAAACAGGTGTGATCAAACACATCCTGGTTTGCACACAGGGCACATGGAAGGCTTGGTTCAGACAGACTATATGAAAGCAAACTAAAATTTGCAGAGCCTATTTCCTCAACACGTTTCCCACCCCCCCTCCCCCCCATTATGAAGGTAGGTCACACAATTTGGCTTCAGCCAAAACTTCCAGGTTCTTGCTCCTAAAGCTAAACTTTCTAGAACTTCCCAAGGAAAACAGCAAAATTTTAAAGATGCACAATCATACACTGCTCAGAACAATTTATCTGTATCCTGGTCCTTGTGTGAACTGTTCTGCCAAACCTAGCAAGGACTAAACTAAAAAAACCCAGCAAAGAAATTTACCAGGCTGAGCATTTAAAGTTTGACTAAGTAAAAAACAGTTACAAGCAGAGCATTATAACAGAAAATACAAAGCAAACTCTGTTACAGGTAATTTTCATACTCTATGTTTTGTCACCTATGTGATGTGTAGTGATGCCATCTGTATCTTCTGTACTTTATCAGATAAGTGTTTCTCATTAATTGAATAGACTATTAAACTCCTCAAAAAACCTAAAAACTTTGAAGCACCGTTTAAAGCTAAAAGCATTATGCTCCACAATCTCCACATGACAAACACTTCATTTTCACCTTTGTTTATTAAACCTGTATTAATCTAAAATACATGTAAATCACTGTCTTAGGAATTTGTCTTCCAACCATGCCACTAAGAAAAATCAGGGTTTTTATGCTGAGGTAAAAAAGAAAATCCTAGTATTTCAGTGGGAATAACACTTTTATCTGATAAGGACATATTTAAGAATGGCACAACTCACAAGACGTAGTACTGACATAAGAATATTTTGAAATTATTTTTCCAGTTTCAAATGTTTATTTCTAATTTCTTTCTCGATTCACCACTATAAGTGAGAAAAAAAAAGCACTTTAGTTTTTCCATTCTGTTGCCTCTAATTACTTAGAAATTTTCCATACATGTCACTGTCTTAATTTTCCTGTCTTGGGTTTCGTGGTTAGTGCTTAAGTGTAGGTAGGCAGAGCAGGTGAAAAAGGTAAGTAAAAGACAATACTTACAAAGCAGGCTTTATTTGCATTCTATTACATGTAAATAATTGTCTTCCATGAAATTGTTATGGATTTGTAGGAACTATTTTTAAAAGGACATATTAAGCCAGTGTTTGGAAATCACTGAAAGTATTTGAAGTACCTAAGCAAAACCAGCTTCATAGCACACTCATTAACTTCCAACCTAAAAATCACCTTTAATGTCTTTATGTCACATTATTATAGAAAGTATAAATATTGAATCCCATAAAAAGTATCTATAAAATTTAAGTATTTAAATGTAATTAATTCTAAATTACAACATTCAGCTACTTGGTCCATGTAACTACATTAGTCTTATGAAATATTTATAGTGCAACTGGATTACAAACCTACACAAGATTCACTACCTATAATAAGTAATTTTAAAAACTGAACAGTGACCACTTCTGTATGACACCACCATGTAAGAACTGAAGGAACTAAAGAACTGAAGGGATAATCTAGACGAAGAAATATTTTCAATGCAATTAGGCTAAGTATGTACACATAACTGTGCTACATTTAATTTAAACAGTCATGTGCCTTTGTAATAAAGACAGTTAAAGACAAAAGCCCTCAAACTTACCTATCTGATCGTTGCATTAACCAACACAGCTCAGACATCGACTGTTGTACTAACACTGCTCTTACAGGGAAGGTTACAGGCTGGGAAAGCGTACTGCATATCTGAGCCATTTCTTTCACCATCATCCAATCATAGCCTACAATAAAGAGCATTTGATTAAAAAGAATTTGTCGCAAATGCAATCTCTACAAAGACGCAATAAATTCTAGAATGGATAGGTTGCAACATAACACAAGAGCAAACGTGAAAAAGACGGAACTCTAAAATGAAATAGCTGAATCATTATAAATAAAAAATTTCACTGTCCAAGAGGAGAAAAGCAATACCAATACGAAAAATAAATTTATTTTGAAAACCTTTATTTCTATTAATTGCAGTGTTATTTTACATATAGCTATAGAATGTGATATTTTCATAATGTCCAGGAAATTGTATCTCTGTTCTGTCAAAAAGTGTTGCTATTGACTTCAACATGGACTAGTTTTAACTTAGCAGGGATCCTTAAAAAAACAGAAATATTTTGAGAAATTTAGGAAAAAAATTCAATTAATGCAATAGAAGACTTTAAAATTATAGAGAAATGACACATGTAAAATGTTTTGTACTTAAAACATGCTAAAATCAATTTCTATAAAACACTATCAAATATACACCAACAAAGAAAACAATTCTTCTTACATTTGCTATTATTTTCAAACTGACCAGGTGGCATGTAACTTATTTTGAACCAATTATGAAATCAATTTGAAGACAACAGACTATGCAGTGTTAGCACTAAACTTTCTGTCTTTACCTTTACTGTGTTTGTCACGGTGCCAGCCAGTTGTCCATCCCAGTGACAAGGTTACAACTGGGAAAAATGAAGTGACAGTGTCGAGGAACCCTTTTGCATCCACCACAGTATCACTTCCATTAGGTCCTGGTAGGATGTCTGCATTGATCCACACAGGTCGCCTCAAATGCTGCTTCACGTGCTCAAGAAGCTCCAAGGAAGGCCGTACGGCTTCTAGACTGTACCAGTAACACACAGGTGAGATGACAGCTCACTCTGAGGACAGGAAATGTACAGTACACATATATTTGGGTACATTAATGAGACTCTCCCTGTACGCTGGAGAGCAAATGCTGAGGACCCTTTCTACCACCAGAGGACTATGACTGCTGGTGTCAAATAGCACAAGCCTCTTGTCTCTCTGCTGTCCAAAATGAACTGCTTCATGGCTCTTACCTCATAGCTCTTCTACCTCTTGACAAGTTAAGACTTGGATGTTATTGAACTCTTAGAAAGGATTTTAATTAAGGAAGCCATTGCAGACTCTTTTGTAGTTGTTCCCACAGCTCAAAAGTGTAGCAGTGTGAAGAAGTGGCCCATCCTACAGCTAACTATTAAGTATGAGATGTAGTCACTTCAGCAGCTGACGTAGCACCACTTAAAGCATATAACAAAACACCGTAAATCAAATATTCTCACTGTTCTCCAAAATCATAAGAAAAAGCATAAATAGAAGGCACAAATAACCTTTCTCTATCCTAACAAAACTTCTGAAACAGCAATATTGTGGAAGGAAAGGAAATATGGAATAATGGGGAAAGGGAAAGAATGCCAAGAAAATATGTACTTTTTCCTTTTGCAGCAAATGAATTATCCTTCTATATTACATTCAAGAATTTAAAATCATTATGGTCAGAGTTGTGATTTCCTTACTAACAGCAAGGACCTGTGTTTTCTCCTGCAATTGTGAAAAGCTCTGAAGCAGCCATCATCTGGCTCTTCCTCTAAATCTTGCAGTGACACAATGCAGAGCTGAGCCAACAAAACATTCTTCCTGCTGTTCTGCAGGGTTATTTTCCCTGTTCAACACCACAAACTGGTCCCTCTGGGTGTCACAGGAGCACCAGGAAGAATAACTGTGAAGAGCAAGGAGAGGGATCACAACTGCTCCAGCTTTACAAATATAAACCACAGGCTACACGCCCCATGGGTACCCACCTGAACAGCACAGATGATGGTTAACTGCTACCACATCTTCCCAATTCCAAGGCCACCGTACCTCCCTCTTACACCAGTGCTGATGCTTGCCTTAGCAGCAGTGTGTGGGTTCAGAGATGTGAAGTGGTAAACAACCATTCTCACTGTTTTGTAGGAATGGTTGTATATCAAGTTATTCTCAAGCCTGGCTCATCATGGAGTCAGGGTCAGACAAATTGTGTGAGGATTTGCAGCCAAAATTGGGAATGGCAGACAGCTGTTACATTAGGTTAACACTAAAGCCAAAAACCTACCCTGAGCTCCCTGTGATATTTCCTGTGAAAAGTGATTCTTGTACATTTTAACTTCTGTATTGTTGAGAAAGCTGCGCTGTGGAAGGAATTCCACTTCAGACTTGCAGTGTTAGCTCAAGTCTTCTTAGAGAAAAGGTAGTAAGGGCTTGAGTGAATATTTTTGGCTGAAGTATTTCTCACATTGTCTGAGACCAGAACAGTTCACACTTTCCCACATACAAGGGGTTGTCAAAGCCCGCGGAATGCCTTCCTTTTCACTACAAAGTACAAGATAATGTAAAGACAAAAAAGCACCTCTTAAAACAAACAAAATACCCCAGACAGACAGCACTGTTTATATCGCACAGCATTTGGAAAATTCAAACGTAGTTCTGACTCCACGTTGAATGACTGGCATTTTTGGAGTGGGACTGAAGTCCTTTTGCAGAATACATTCATTTCTTCAGATAAAGCCACCAGGAAATGTGATTATGTGGTCAGTTGAGCTGATCGAGTAGAAATATAGAAAATACTTATTTTTAAGTGTTGTTGAAATAATCTCCAGAACTTCAGCAATGGTATCAGAAGAAGTATTATTCAAAAGAACATAAAATCCTGTTATCGCTCATTTGACTATATCTGCACTGCGGGCTATTTTTTAATGCTTTTATGCAAATAGACTTATAATGCAATGTAATTTTAAAAGCTTTTTTAAATCACTGCACTTGGCAGTAAAAACCTTGTAGAAAAATAAGAGGCTGCTGTTTTAAAATTAATTTAAACAATAATTAAAGTGAAAAACAACCCCAACAACAATCCAACCCAAATAAACGTCTACTTCTCTTGTCTTTTCCCTTCTCTGTCCAGAAAGACATTTACAGATTCTGTGATGAATAAAAGGATTTAGCCTGCCCACATGTTTTGTATTTTCATGAACTTTTACATGAAACTGTGATTGCATTACACAGAACAGCAGGTACAAATCACGTTTAACAACAAGCTAGCTTTTTTTTAGCATTTCCACAGCACACTTATGCATTAATAAAGCTCTTTTTAATATGGATATGGTTTCTCCATCTGCTGCGAAAATAGATATTGTAGATGTAAATTCATACAAAGCTAAAGCTAGGAGTTGCAGAGGTCACAGCTCACTTTGAATCCCATTTCAAACTTCTCAAGGCAACCTCTTGGGTTTTTCAGGTGTATTTTCCATTAAAGACAATGAAATGGCTAATGGTTCAAGTTCTAAATGAACGTCTGAAAATTTAATTAAGAAGTTATGCCAAAGAAACGGAATCTACTTCATAAAACATGCACCTTACCACACAAAAGGAAAGGCAACATTTTTGTGTTACAAACCATGCTGGAGAAACCTACCACCTCATCATATGTGGTAAGAGATCAGATGTTCAAAGGAGTACACCTAATTCTTGATGTGAGACATCCCCAATAGATCGTCAGTATTGGAGCTGATCAGGAAACATAATTACTCTCCTTGGTGGGAGAAGGTGTGGAAAAAAAGTAAAAAAGAGCTTTAGGAAAATGAAGATATTCATGCTGGCATGGGATGATGTTTCTAAATTATTATGAACTTCAGCGGAGAGCGAAGTTGACTTTACTGCAAGCTTTCAGAAGCTTTGTGAAAAGCCTTAACATTTTATTCCCATTCCATGGTACAGAATGACATCCAGAAAGCTGATAATGGCAGGACAAGCCTGGGGGCTCAGCCCCATCTGCAGCCTGGGAGCTGCTCTGTGACTTCCCATTCGGAAGCGTCGTCTTCCCCAATTTCTTGGCACAAGCAGAAAACTTATAGGAGCTCTCCAGACAGGCACTACCATTTCAGTTTTCACAACAGAAAAACTTGGCTCAATAGCAACTCAGTAACAAATTAACTGAGTATGAAATCATTATTTGTAGTTCAAAACACTTATAAAGCTTTTATCCTTGAAATGCATTTAGTAACACTGATTATGTTTCACTGCACTTTCTATTGAGGAAGGAATGCATTACACTAAATTGCACAGGACGAAAAAGTTTGGTCTACCACAGTCTACTGTAAAATTGTTAACTAGTAGGAACATGAAGAATATAAACATCTTTTTGTCTTGTGATACCTCTTAAAATCCAGCTTGATGCCTTTATCTGTGCTGACAATCTCTTTTAGCCACTCTTGCAATGTGTTGTCACTGTCTGTTTCAGGTGGATGAGCCATGATTGGGTCTCCTTTGCCACCACGAAGAAGAACATCTGCTTCTATCATGTGAACATCACCTGTTGATTTAAGAAATGAATGCTCTAACAGAAGCAAAACCAATAGTTCCAGGGTCTGCTTCACAATAACAACTACGGGGCAAGTCTTTCTACACTGGACTGTGCCCTTAACCCACGAAGATCAGCTAGTACGAGCTGCTATCTGTGAAGCAACAGAGAAGCATTTCTTTGGATACTTAAGTCACTGAACTCTTCAGAAATCTACAAGCACATGAAAACTGATCTGCGTAGATACCTTCGGCCAAGTAATCATGTTTTTTTCAGAGGAAAAGCAAAGTGAGTATCCAAAATGTGAATCCACTCTTGCTAAATTTCTAATCTTTTCTCTTAAAACAGGGTTCCAGTCAGAGCCTTTTAGAGGAAAGGTCTCCAGAAGATTTTAACACCGGCAGACACTGAGTATTCCCCTTGTTTCATTCTCAAAACTGATCAACCCACTTCAGCCAGAACTTAAAAAAAGAAGTCCGTCAGCTACAAATATCTGCCAGGAAATTGGTGGCTGAAACACAACTCAAGTGAGTGGGAATCTCAGGGATGCTGCAAGCTCTTGAAAACAGCTTCTAATTATTAGAAGCATCCAAGAGCCTGGGCAGTGCTACCACCCATGCAGAAAACTCAATATATACAGTTAAAATGGAAATAAGAATAAAAAAGATTGTAATATAGTCAACAGATAACAAATTACATATCAAACTTACATAAATAGATCACATATGTCCCCAGTATTCATCATCAATTAAAATTCACTGAAATAAACTGCTTACAAATAACCTGAAATACTGTCATCATCTTGAATAATATGGAGGGAAAAAGCAGTAACAAAACTGTCCTGTAAAACCCAAAAAATATTCCCCAGTGAGTTACAACATTACACAATTTCAAACCACCCTAAAAAGACCTAGGAGAAGATCCATCCATATGGGGTCAAAACTGCCTGGTAATCGTTAACTGTTTCAGGAAGACAGGACACATTAGGAAGGAATTCTTTACTGTGAGAGTGGTGAGAGGTACCGTAGAGCCTGCTGTCCTTTTAACGCTGGCACTGAGCCTCATCTGATGGAGGGAGGATGGGTGGACTTTTGATCAGGTAATTTCCATTTTCTGCTTTCCAGAGTGTCAGCAGAGTGCAAAGGGTGGCCTATCATAAGATCCAACAAGAAATAATAGGCACAACCTGACCACCAGTGCTGGCATACTGGGGAGCTGTGGTCTAACCTCAGTATGACCACATCACAGAAACAGTTTCAGCTGCAGCAGCAGCTTCTCTGTTCCCCTGTGCAAATATCAAAACTGAACACTCCAAACAAGCTTAGCTTGAGCACATGAAACCAGAAGACCCCTTAACCATGGCTGTGGTCTGCTGGGAGGTACAAAGGGCTCTGATAATCTGCAAGCCTGAACTGCGAGAGCAGCTGCCTGCCTGGAAGCTGGTTGTCTTTTTGCAACTGAAGGGGTTTGTCTAAGAAAGCGGTACCACCTCGGTCCCCAAACCGTCTCCTGCCGGCCCTAGCGATGCCAGACCGGTGGTTCGCAGGGGCAGGCGGCCATCCTGGGATGGGCCCCTACAAGCAAGCAAACCACACGTGACCACACAACCAGGCCCTCTCCCTCTATCAGCCCTCATCCTTAACGGTGAAGCGACCACTCGAAGGCAAGTGAACGCAGCGCAGGGCGGCAGAGGCCCGCACTTACTTCTTGCGGCCTCCTTGGCTCGGGCCTTACTATTGGCGGCGTGGAACCACTTGATGGCCACCCCGTCCCTCGCTCCGATGCGCTGCGACCTCAGAAAGTGATCCACCGCCGCCTCGCTCCAGGCGCCTGTGGCGGCACGAAAAGAGAGGCCCCCTCAGCATCACCGCTCGGCGGGACCGGCCCCGGCTCCCCTCACCACAGGACC